TGAATGGTGCTGTGCCCAGCAAGCACCAAATGCCCTGGAAGTCTCCACAGAGAGGCATGAAACAACCTCTGCCCTCCATGAAAGGCCAAAAGCTTCCAATGAAGCTGATCTCCTCTAAGAATCTGCTCTATGTTTTTAACACATAGAAGTCAACTTTTATATAAAACGACTGAGCAGGTTCTTAGAAGAAAGTGAAGGCACTTTTAGTACAAAGCCAGCATTCCAACACCAGCAAGCTCTTCTCGTTCGCCAAAATTTTGATCATGTGGCCGTGGGGGTGCTGCAGTAGCCATAACTTTTGAGCAGGGATAGTAACTACGTTCAGCACCTTGACTTATGACTGAATGAACAGTCCCAAGTCGAGGACAACCTATAGCACTATACAAAAGGTGTTCCAAAACTTGCTGATGCATATGAACACTAAACTAAGCCAGAGGTTCTGGCTAATGAAGTTAAATGAGCCCTATTGCTAACAACAAAGTTGCAGGGTTTGAGTAGCCAAGGGATTGGAAAATATCAATTTATATTCCAAAAATCAAACAACACTTCTAAAGAATGCTCAGATTACCTCACAACTGCACTCGAGAGTTAAGATTTCACAATCTAGTCTTCAACAACACATGAAAAGGAAGTGTTGGATGTGTAAGCTAGATTCAAAAAAAGCAGAGGCACCCAAGATCACATTACTAACGTCCAATAGACCATGGAAAGAGCTAAGTTATCAGCAAGAAATGTAAAAACTTTCCTTTACGGATTACCCCAAAACTTTTGACTGTGTAGACCACAACAAATTGAGGATAGTCCTTAATAAGATAGGTTTGCCCAGGCCAGCTCTTCTGCTTACTGCTTAACTTGCATGATTACTAATGAGCAACAGTTAGTAAAATATGGTGCAATTTACATTGTTCAAAATTAATTTTGCACAGTGCTACCTTCTTTAACACATATTCAAAGAACTGATAGGCTAGAAGTAGAATTAAAAGTGTTGGAAGAAACATCAACAGCCACAGAAATGGTTGTGGCTGGAAGAAGGAAAAATCAAGTATTTTCTTGTTACAAGTGAAAGAAGTTAGTAAAAAACAGTTTCTGCTATCATTTATTTAAAAATAGAATATATTAAAAGGCAATGCCAACATACATAAATGGATGGATAAGCTGTTGATATCTTCATGTTTTCAGATTCAAGCATTCAGATACGGAGACTTAGTGAAACAAAAATGCCTGTTACTTGAAAGAAAATCTAAGACAACTTTATACAAAATACTGAGGTGCAGAGATAGGATGGCAACAAGGGTATATATTGTCAAAACTATTATTTTCCCAGTTGTCACAAATAGCTCTGAAAACTAGAACACTAGAAATGCTGAAGAAAAATTAATGCCTTTCAATGGTAGTGTTGGAGAAAATTGCTACGAGTACTTTAGATTGAAAGAACAAATAGTTCATCGGTAGATAGGGTAGCACAAATAACGAAGCTAGTTTAAATATTTTGGTCACATAAAGTGAAATCTATAACCATTGGACAATATCCTGGCACCTGGAAAGTGAAAAAGAGATAGTGGGGAAAAAAACCTACATTACTAGATGGCATCAGTGATGACACAATATGACCTTAAAAGAACTCAAAGAACCAACTACTGACAGACAATTCTAGTAAAGGGAATTCCATTCAGTAAAGTTTAGAAGTGACAAAACAATTGTAAGATGAAATTAAGAGATAAATTGACAACCAAGAGGTTTGGTTTTCAATGGTTTTTGTATACAGAGTTAATGTTTAAGGTAGATAATATTACATTTGGAATTTAGCAGCACAAGATAGCATTTGAAATCAAACTATGTACAAAAGATGAACATTTAATTACTAAAGTGTATAAACTTTCATTGAAATTTTAAATGGAAGAACAAGTAGAAGAGTATGATAAAGTGAGCAAAGAACTTTGGACAATATTTATTATTTTATTTATTCCTTTATTTATATCCTGCCTTTATTATTTTCATAAATAACTCAAGGTGATGAACGTATCCAACACACCTTCCTCCTATTTTCCCCAAAGCAACCCTGTGGATTGGGCTGAGAGAGAGTGACTGGCCAAAGGTCACCCAGTTGGCTTTCATGAACTCACCTGAGCTCGCTTTCTGGCCTAGAGCCTTAAACATTAGACCAAACTGGCTCTATCAATATATAGATAGAACAATGGGAAAATATGTAACTGAAAGTTATATTATAATTTAAGTGACATTATAAAATAATGTGCCACTGGTACATGACTCCAAAAAAATATCTAAAATGTATAAAGATACTGCAAATTTATGTTGGAAATGTGGAAAACATGAAAGGTCATTTTATCATGGCTGGTCATTTTATCATTTCTAGCACAAAAGCTAGAAAATGTTGGCTTCAAATATGTAAAGTGATACAAATAATTTTAAAAAGTAATAGATTCAATTGAAAGCAGAAATCTTGTTGGGACAAACGGATAGACAACTAGAAAAGAGCTATGGCAGGCTGTTTTTATATATAACTGCTGCAAGATTATATGCTAAAAATGGAAAGATTCTGAAATACCCATGATGGAGGAATAAATGGTAAAGATGAGAGAATTAGCAGAGATGGCAAAATTAACTTGTCTGATTAGAGAGAGGACAAAAACTATATTTATTACTAACTGGAAGCCTCTTATGGACTTTTTGCTGAAAAATAAAAGAAAATGAACTTGTGCTTTAAGGATTTGATGATTAGAAAGGATAGAGAATGGAAAAAAGGAAATTATGTTGCAGTCTTAGAAAGAGAAGGTAAAATATAAATGTATTTGTAATTGCTGTTAAGATTGGAGGCCATTTGTTTATAACATTATCCTGTCTTTTTTTCTTTCTCTTCTCTATTTTTTCCTTTGTACTTCTTGTACTTATTAGTTTACTTCCCATACTCTTCTCTTTCAAAATTGGAATTGTTTATTCTTTTAAAATATTTAATAAAAATTACCAAAAAATAAAAAAGGTTTACAAGTGACAGAACAATTGATCAACAAGTTTATTTTGTGCTGCTGTCTATACCTATTTGTCTTCAGCTATGAGGTGCTCTGGTTGAAATTGGGTTTACGGGAACAGTAGGGATTGCTGCTGTTTTTTTTTACTCTCTCTGCTTCTCAGCAACTTTCCTGCCTGAATTGCTGAATTCCATTGCTAGGTTGGCAATAACATCTCCAAAGATACTGGGAATGATGTTATCCTGCTCACATATTTTCAAAAGCCTTGCAGTTGTTCTCACTCCCACCCACCTTCATTTAAATTTTAAAATTTAAAAAGCCAAATAAAATAAAAAGACAGTCTAGCTGGCCAATATTAGCATCCTCCATTTTCTTGATGACATAAAAGCAAGCAGTCTGGTTATTATGACCAGTTTTAAAGACAACCACACAGCAAAAAGGTAACATAACACCACTGTATTGCCATCTCAACAATATAGCCAAGGAGCCAAGGAGTTAGGACAAAATGAAAATGCTAGCCAATGGTAACTGGCAACCAATGAGTAACTACCATGAAGCTCTTGCATTCACACTGCAGAATCCTCCAAAGTATTTCCAAATATATCACAACAGAGGCAGAACCTATGAAAACTCATTGTCCAGTAAGCTATTGCATGATTATGAGGGTATGATGCTAATCTGGAAGTAGAGCATATGAACATATGCTTAATTGCTCATACCGTGTTTCCCTGAAAAATAAGACCGGGTCTTTTTTTTTTTTTTTTGCCTCCAAGAGGCACCAGGTCTTATTTTGGGGGGTTGTCTTACTCACTTCGGGCACCGACAGCCTCGCCCAGCAGGTCCACTTTTGCTGGGGCCAAAGGAGCAGTTTCATTCTGCAGCTGCATTCTGGTCTGCATTTTGCAGTCAGACCTTTCGGGAAGGCCTATGCAGCCGAGTACCGAGCTATGGATTCAGTCCATAGCCCGGTCCACAGCTGCATAGGTCTTGGCTGCATAGGCTTTCCGGAAAGGCCTGTGACTGAGAAATGCAGGCCTGGCTGCAGAAGACGCCTCAGAAGAAGTGGGCAGGTGAGGAGAGACGGGGCGTGTGGGGCAAATCCACACCCCCACCCCAGCTTGATTTTTAGGTGTGTGCCTCGCCACAAAACTAGGGCTTATTTTCGGGATAGGCCTTACTTTCGGGGTAACACGGTAGTTGCTGAGTAATACAAATCCTTATAAGTGCTTTAGAATGCAAGAAACATATATGAAATACCTTTCTACAAGCCTTTAAAGCAGCCTAGCCTCTTCCCAAATTCACATGATTTCAAACTCATAGAACAGCTACACATAATTATGTGGATCTGGAAAGAGGCACAATTGGTCAAAAGGAGCTGCTTGTTATTGCCCAAATGTTTTCCAGAGTACCTCTTCTGAAAGCATTTTAGAGCCATAAAGAAATCTTAAATGCCTTGTCAATTATACAAAAGCTCTCATTACCAGGTTATACATCCAGATGTTCAGATAGCTATCATGTTCCACCACTGCTTTAATCGCATCTCTACTTTCACATATTACATATATTTTACAGTCTTAATGCATCATTCATTCATTCATTCATAAAGAAAAAAATCTCTAAAGGTTAACATTATCGAGTCAATATGAAAAAGCTGTGGGTCAGATTTCCATCCTGAACTAGAATACACATTAACTTTGAAATGACAGGATGGTACAATAGCTAATGCAAATGAAATCTAACATGGGCACTACATTAAGGTGATTTTTTTTTAAGAAAAAAGGTTTAAAACAGTAAGGAATACTGAAGTCCATAAGAGTCCTTTCCATTTTCTATTATTTTGCCTTTTTAAAGAATGTTGAGAATTTCAGACTAGGCAAATGGAGCTGGGGTAGCACACTGCATGCAATACTGAGAAAGTAGATGAAGAAATGTATAGCATAATGCATGCAGCGAAAAAACAGAGATGCAGGTCTGTGTTGATTGTCTTGCACATAGATATTAGTAGACACTGACCTGGTGGTCTGAAGCAATCCTGCATCATTCCCAATTTTCTTATTCATAGCTGTTCTGTCAAAGTCTTTCTCCTCAATTTTCACAGTCTTCTTTCCTCTTTGTTCTATTGGTGGAAGAGGAACAACATTCATTGACTTAATTTGAAGTGTAGTTTTGAGATCAGCCTTAGCTTCTTTTGTTTCTTCCTTGTTTTGAAATGGCAAACAAGAAGATTCACACAAAGAATTACTGATATTGAAGCTGTCTGAAGACCCATTTCTTGCATCCTTCTGGAGGCTGATCAGTTCTCCAATTAATTCTAGGAAAGAGAATGCAAAATTAAATCAGATTAGTTCTTTAGAACACAATTTATATAGGGGATCTTTGTGGGCATACATCTTTACTCCTTAGTGACATACCATTTCACAAACTTAACAATTGATAGGGAGAAAATTGCACACAAGATTCTTATTAGAAGAGTTTTCACAATGAGTCACTAATCTCATTAAAGCATTCCCTAAGATGATTATATTTATAAGAGCTCATTCATTTGTTTGTTCACCAATTGTGTTATTCTCTTTTAGAATAAGTAATATTATGCAAAGTGCAGAAAAAGAGAAAGTAGTAGTAAGGAAAGGAATGTAAAGGTAGAAGCTTAAAAACAAGAAATCTAATTAAATAGTTTCCATAACTCCAGTCACTACACCACACCATGCCTTTTTTTGCCCTGCTTACTGTCCTTATTTTCACCATACCCATACAATAAAATATTGCTTCTCGTTCTTTAACTTCTTACCCATTAACTCCATCCAATCACCACTTTCTCAATCATCTCAACCTATTCCCTCTTTCTCATATATTTTGTGATTCAATCCTATTTACTTCTGGATTGAATTTCCTCACATGGCCTATAGCTAGTTAAGTAGGTCTCAATGTTTAAGAGTCTTCATTTTTCCTTCTTTTGTTGTGCTTTCCTCTCTTCAATTTGTAGATTAGGTGGAAGCAAGGCTTTTCTATCCTCATGTGTCTCTTAATAAATCTATCTTTTACTCCAGATATGTCATGACCTTTAGCCTGTGCCCATATTCTGTGCCCATATTCTGCTTCCAAGATGACTAATATGCACATTTTATTCTTTTTAATCAACACTGAATAACTTAAGTTATTGTGCTGCCTTGTTCCCCCTCTCACACGTACAGCAAGAGTCTACAGGTGTTTATTCAAACCCTCCAAAACAGATCCTCTGAAAGCACCTCCGTTGCACAGGTCCTGATTCTGACCTCCAATAAGAGCTTCTGTTGAAGGTAACGATTTTCCTTCTCAACACCCAATTCTCACTTGTGTAACAATGTGGGCTGAACCATAGTCTGTATCATTTTCACTTCTTTGAACATACATTCCTTCCTTACAACATACCACCGGCATCTCACATCTTAAAATTCTTCATGTGTTTACTGGTTAATAAAAAGTATATCTTGATCTCTTTTTTCTGTCTTATTTAGAAAACACAAAAGTTGGCCTCGTTCTGTTCAGTTTTTAGAGCATTATCCCCCTGATGGATGAGCAGAATCTCAAAATTGTATATCTGATTTCTTTCCAATATTCATTGGGGTTAGCAAGAATAACATGGTAGGAAAAGCATGCAGAGCATGGCTTCTGGAATTCATTGTAATCCTTAATACAAATTTCCGTCTGGGAAAGAAGAGGAAGACAGGCTTAGAATGGAGCAGCTGCCAACAATTTCAGATGCTGCCAGTTTGTCTGTCCCACAATGCACTACAGGATTTTTTTTCTCTCTCTACAGCCCCAACTAGATCCACACCATTTTTGAACTTGATCTTTTTTGTGGGGAGCCAACTCCCCCCCCCCCCAATCCCTGGGTTTAACGCCATTCCATTCTATTTTGGAAGAGTTGTATGGAGAGACATACCAACCGAGTTTTAAACACATTTATGTGACTCCCAACATTCAACCAGATTGGAAAGAATAAAAGGAGAAGGAAATGAGGCCTTCTCTTTGGTGATTTATTAGCTTCTTATTGCAGTCAGCTACACGGCCTGACAGGTTCTTCTGCTACTACCCTCAGGAAGGTAGAAGCAACTATAGGATAAAACCTGAACCGGCCACTCCTAAGATTCAGAAGAACAATCCTTCTGAATGATGGAACTCTCTGAATTATCTGTTTGTTCAGGCCTCTGCATGGGAAGGTCTCCATGGAAAACTGTGAGTTAGTAATCTCACCAGAACCCTCAGATTTTGGCCAAAAAGACTGAAAATTCTCCATAGTGAGAATTTATTGCCTACTCTGCATTCCTCAGTGCTTGTAACTTTTAGCTGTTATTTTTTTTAAAGCATAAGCTACCCAGAGTCATTCTTGTCAAGCTACCTTTAAATCTAATAAAATAAATAAATAGCTCTGAAGTCTGAATATACAAGAGAACCTGGAACAGTTAGCCTCTCAATTTATCAAGGGAAAATTACTACAATCTGAGGTATGAAGACTCTGTGTCAGAGTCCTCTGCATTACAGACTTTATAATTTTTAATGACATATTATCAAGAAACTGCTTCTTCCTTTGCGTGTGTTGAAAAAAAATATCTTATAAACGTTTTTCAATTGCCTGGGGAAATCTGTTTTTGCAACACTCTGGCTCATGTGTAAATTGGTTTGCTTCGTCAATTATTGACATTTCCTCTTCTTCCCTCCTAAAGGACAGAAACTCAAGTGAAGATTACACTGAGTTACTTATGCTAACAACCTGTTGACTATCCCTCCTACATAATGGGCCCTTTGTTGGGGCACCAGGGGTCCATTAATAAGAAGAACTAGAAGAACCAGCTACATGGATCAAGTGTGTATTCTTCTTTAGGTGGCAGGAAGAACAAGGGGTAGTGAATGAAAGGAGCTTGGCAACGTATGGTGTCCACATCCAGAACTCCAGGTGCAATAAAATAATATTAAAACATTCATGTTGGGGTCTGTATTGTCTATTACTTGGAAGAACATAAAGTCAGTGCAACTGCAGCTTGAACTAGTGCATAACTCACAGATGACTTTCCCTATACAAATAAAGTTGATTGCTACTAGAGAAAAAGGAGATGTACCCTGGCAGGGGTCTTTGCTTTCTAAAAGTGCTAGTGGTCTGAACCACAGTAATATTCCTCCTTTGTTTCAACGAGGTCCCCTAAAATGTGGAATTACAACACTGGACTTTCTACAGGATTCCAGTTGTTGGGAAAGTAATAAAGGGAAAAATAAAAGAATGAAAATGCAGCATAGCTCTCAACAACATTTCACAAACTGGAGCTAAACTGAGAATCTGCTGTGTCCCTAAACAAAACGAAGAAGTAATACATTTTCAAGATACACTTCTCCATTGTAAGAAAACAGAAGAGATTGTGCAGCCTGTTCTATGCCTATTTGCCTCAATGAATAACCTAAATTGTTCCAAGGTCTCTCCCAGGCTTCTGAATTCTCAGCTATGCACAAACAATACTAAGCAATTCCCAATTGAGACTATGCAGTGAATGTATAACTCTAAAAGCCTTCAAGAACCTCGGCCAGTTCCCACACTAAAAGGCAATATATGAATGAAAGTAGTGATTTACTAGGGAGCAGGGATAATTACCTTCTGGTTCATATTTGATTTTCAGTTCCTCTAGCAGCACACGCAAATTTATGTTCTCACTTTGACAAGTGTCAAGTTGCTTTTCAGTTACAAAAAGCTTTCGCTCCATCTCTAAGACTCGCTGACTTTCAAATAAAGCTTTCATCCGCTGTAAAGACAATTCATTCTTCAAATTTTCTTTCTCCTTACTAACAAAAAGGAAACAAAAAGTATTAGAAAACATACAACTGCATAAAGTCAATATCCATATTGCAGGTCTCAATTCCTTTCATCTTTTTCACTTAATCCTCACATGAACACTGCATAAGGATTAAAAATGTGTAGAATGTGAACTAAAATTAGCAGCAAAACCATTCAAAAAGATTTATGGTGCTCTCAGTACAGAAACAGTAATAGCTTTTTGAGCCAGTAGAAATTTGTTGCTTATAGGATAGAGCAGAGGTCCCTTTTGGGCACCAGGGACTGGTTACATGGAGAGAGGTTTCTCTGCGGACCAGAAGGGGCATGGTTTTGTGTGCTGCCTGCATCCCGTGGATGGGGTTTTGCTTGTTTGTGTGGCCCGGTTGCTGACATGCTGCGGCCTGGTACTGGTCCACAGACTGGGGGCTGGGGACCCCTGGGATAGAGTACAGGAAAAAAAAGACAAAATTGAAGGAAAAGCACAACTTTACTCACTAAAAATATCAAGCCTGATTCATAAAGTAACATTAAGAATTTTGAAAATGGCCAACATAATGTATGATTAAGGTGTTGGACTAAGATCAGGGAGGCTCAGCTTTGGGTTCACCTTCAGATAGGGAAAATCAGTGACTGCCTTTCTCTCGACCTAACTCTACTGTGTATGGTAGACTTCTGAACTCGTGTTAATATTCCAAAAGGTATTGGGTTTTTGGCTTCTAAAATATCTACTCATATTCAAAGTACCATCTCTTTTGTTGCATGCAAGTAAGCTGTTTTTTTTCTTATTTATTTTTTCATCATCTCGAAGTTGAATCAGTGGAAAGATAAAGAAGAGAAATGACTTTTTGTGCTGCTTGTACTCTTCTAATGCACTCTTCCAGATAGAAGATTTGCACATGGTTATTAATTTCATATACAGCAGACTAAGCAAGATATTTGTTTAATTTAGCATATTATAGGTAGTCTAAAACTTATGACTGTAATTGAACCTGAAATTGCGGTAATAGTGCTGGTGTTAAACATCAAGTGACTGACTTAATTTTTTGGCAACAGTCATTAAGCAAATCACCATGGTCATTAAGCAAGTGTCACAGTTATCAAGCAAACCCATTGTCCCCAATGGGAGCTTTTTCCAGAAACCAGAAGTAAATGCCGGTTTCCATTAAAAAAAATCATAAATTGTAGCCATGTTACCCCAGGACACTGAAAATTGTAAATGCGAGCAGGTTGCTGAATACTCAAAATGTATCATGTGACGACCAGGATCACTTGGAATCACATAGTAAGTACTTTTGGGGGGGGAGGGGGGAGAGAAGAGTTTCTTGTAATGTAAGTTGAGAACTACCTACAGATGAACTCGGTTCTTTTGTTTGAAACCGATATTGTGCTCAGCCATTATAGCTTATTCAACGAACTGTGTCTTACTGTGTTACCCTAGCTGATTCATCTAAGATACTAAGACTGAATACAGATCCTAATGTATTATGTTCTTGCTAAATTCACACAACATGCTATACCATAAATCACCACTTATAAACAATGGTGGCTGATTTCACACAATATGTTCCGTAGTATTACTTGGTTTCAATTTAAAATGCTGACAGTATGTAACCAAGGCTTATTTTACTAAAATAGTTAATAGTTAACTTTAGCAATGGACATTTAAATCAAGAAAGTAAAAAAAAGAATAAAAAGAAATCCTAACAATTTAGCATTTAGAGAAGAAGGAACTAATACTCTAATCCAAATGAATATGCCATGGCTCAATCAGGCTGTCAATTTTCACAATTAGAATTCACAAGACTCACTCTGAATTTTCAAGTTTCATTTGAAGCAAATCAACATAATAGCCATTTTCAAATTCAGCATCTTCTGAGGCTTTAAACGGTTTCAGCTCTCTTGAGTTCTCAGATACCTTCTGGGTAAACAATTATTTAAAAAAATTAAAACTAATATTGGCCTCTGGTAATTTCAGTTATCTGTTAGTGGCAAAAAGGTATGGCAACAAGTAAGAATATTTTTGAAGAAAAATCATCCCATTCAACTGTAACAAAATTATGCTATATACCTTGAGATAAAAATATGACTGTATAAGGGAATATATAAATTCAGCTATCTTATATAGGAAAATTATCGAACAACTTACACGCCAAATAGGTATCTCTATTGGTATTTTATTGCTTTTATGCTTCTTGAAATCAGCCTAGAAAATACAACCAGGGAAAAATAGCTATCTTGGGTTCTTATCCCACAATGGGTTGCTCATTGAATATGAAAGCTTATCTTTATATAAATGCAAAGTTGTAAAACCACTTCTCTTCTTTATTGTATTTCCTGGAACTGAGATAGATAGAGCACACTATTGTGGGTACTATTCCTCAGTAACGGAATTCTTCAAGTCTTTCAGTATCATCTACCACCATGATGAACAAAGCTTGGGGTAAAAACCACCAAAAGTCATTCTTCGATATCATTGGAAGAAGTGTGGTCACATTTCATTTTTATCCCACTTTTGGGCCTCTCTAAAGCAAATTGCTCCTATTCCATTCTTAAAAATCACACCATAAGCTGAGAAACAGAAATCACAGAGTTATTTAGTCATTTTGCCACTGAATATCCATGAGGCATTGGGGAGGTCTCTCACACTCTCCTTTCCTGAAACGCTCTGGGTTTAAACACTTTGCTTGTGCCTCTTGCCTTGGGTATATGATTTGATAGTTCTTGCTGCTATCACCTATCTGCCTGAGGCCCCTCACTTGGAATACTCCCCACTAATACCTGTGTGTCAGAGAGAGATGCCCCCCCCCCGTTATTTTCTGCATAAATTCTTATCCAGGAGATCTATTGTCTCAGTTACACATTTATGGTTAAGTCTCTCTCTATGATTTCATGAGTCTGTTTGCTGCATGGGCTTATTCTATGTAATGTTTTCTAGTCCAGTTCTAGACCATTCCTTCACCAACTGCCAGTAAAGGATTTGATAATTTAGTCATGTACCTACCATTGATTTTTCTAATTGTTTCAGTTTCATGAGCAGTTCTTCTATTTCACCATTCTTTTGTTGAAGCATGCTTTGTAAACGTTCCAACTGGTCATGCTCTCCTTGTGAACCTTTTATTCTTAGAAGTGTAGCCATCTGCAGCTACAAATCAAACCAGATTTTGGTCATTTTTTAAATTACAAACATTTTCTTATAAATATATTCAGCTAACAGTCAGTTCTATGAGATTTAACACCAGGTCTTGTAAGTATCCATTTGTACTGAAAATACTAGCTAAAAATATCAAGCATGAGTACTCTGGCAAACTTTCTAACTAAGAATAGCTATAGTTTTCACAACAACCAAAGTTAAAATCTTCCTAATATTTCATACCAATACAACATTTTTTTTCTACACCAGAAACAAAATGGATCAGCATTTCTCAACCTTGGCAACTTTAAGTTATGTAGTTTTCAACTCCCAGAATTCCCCACCGAGTATAGTGTGGATATTTGTGCCAGGAAGTAAATGACACATTTTGCTGAGTCATGATTAATGAAGTGCTTTGATTAAAGAAGTCATGATTAAAGAAGTGTTTTTTGTTTCGGGGATTAAAAAATAATTTGAGATAGAAGGCAACTTGTTTCTAGAAAAATAGTATTTACATAGCAAGTGACATTAATATTACACAGATGATACAGCTTTGTTACCTAAACATGGCTATCTTAATTCCATAGCTATATCTCAATTCCGTAAGGAGAAACTTCCTGACAGTGACGACAATTAACCAGTGGAACAGCTTGCCTCCAGAAATTGTGGGTGCTCCATCACTGGAGATTTTTAAGAAGAGGCTAGAGTCTAGACAGTCCCTTGTCTGAGATGGTATAGGTCCTCCTGCTTGAGCAGGGGGCTGGACTAGAAGACCTCCAAGGTCCCTTCCAGCTCCATTCTATCTAGTCATTATAAAACAGAAATGCTTAGCTATTAGAAATAATAAAATTCCAGCGTAAATGATCTAAATATTTTTTTTCCTCTAACAAAATAAATTTTAAATTAACCATACCTTGACTCTTTGTAGCTGTTCTCTGGTGAAATTATGCTGTTTTTGTAATAACTGATATTTTACTTTAATGCTAATTAGTTGACGCTCCATTTCTACTCTGCGGTCCTCTACCTATGGCAAAAAAAAAAACCCCACTTAAAATTGGTTCACAGTATAAAGCATTTAATATTTATAGCAAATTATATAGTCCCTCAGGAAAGCTATAAACACAGTATAAGAGAAATTATCATATAAGATGCTTAGAAAGGTAAATAATGAAAGTTAATAATGTTGTCATATCATTTCTCAAATCAAAGCTATGTAGCTTCCAGACAATTACCAACTTATTTTAAAAATAATTGCCAAACACAACTATTTCCAGAAGTTTGAAAGAATCTGTGAGGTTACTTAATCATTCCTGTTACCACTACAGGGATTAGCATCTTAAAAATTAAGCAAGTTCCTATATATTTGGATTCTGTAAACATTTGTCAGTTATAAGCTGCTCCTAGCAAGAGTCTATTTGTAGTTTTATAGCAACTCACATAGGTAAGTTTCAGGACTGAAGAAAAAGGTACTCAAAAAGAGCTATTGCCTGCTTAAACTGATATATTTAGATAGGTTGTGTGCTACTGTTGCTCTGCTACATGCATTTATATAGCTAAATTGTTTTGAATAAAATATTGTCCTAAAGCAACAAAAAAAAACCTTCCAACCTGTGATAATTATCACAGTTTTTGAGCATTTAATCTAGCCTTGAACACAACTGGAGGATATCAGGAAGGGGAATTTCACATGCTTAGTTCCTAGCCAAATTTACTAATGAATAATTGGACTGAGAAATTTTTGTTACTGAATCTAGAGCAGTGTTGCTCAACCTTGGCAATTTTAAGATGTATGGACTTCAACTCCCAGAATCCCCCAGCCAGCCTAGTATATTTTTTCCAAACATGTAATAACTTACTACAAATGTATTAAGACTTTGGTTAAAATGCTTATTCAGATTGCTCTAATGAAGAAATAATTCAAGAGAATTGAGAAGTGACTAAATATAAGGAGGTTTTGAAACTAAAAATGGCTTTGTTGAAAGTAATATATACTTTTATGAAAATCCGTACCTCAGCAAATAGAGAATTGCCTTGACTGGGAAAATCCAAGGCCTGCTGTAGCGCATGGTCAAGCTGAACTTGAAGATCTCGGTTCATTTCACGTGCTTCCTGAATTTGAATCAAACATTGTTAATTTACCCAAACTAAATGCATCTTATCAACACAACTCTCCAATTCAATTGGGGCTTGTAATATTCAAAATTTCAAAAACACATGATAATGGTATTACATGTCCAAAACATCAACTACAGACAGTTTGATCTAGTGGTTATGGCACCTGGCTAGAAAGTAAGAGACCATGAGTTCAAGTTCTGTATTAGCCATGAAAGCCAGCTGGGTGACTTTGGGCCAGTCACTCTCTCTCAGCCCAACCCACCTCACAGGGTTGTTGCTGTGGGGAAAATAGGAGGAAGAGAGTGTTGGATATGTTCACCGCCTGGAGTTATTTGTAAAAATAATAAAGGCATGATATAAATAGTAATAGCACTAGCACTAAGACTTATATACTGCTTCACGGTGCTTTACAGCTCTCTCTAAATGATTTATAGTCAGCATATTGCCCCCAACAATCTGGGTCCTCATTTACCAACCTCAGAAGGCTGAGTCAACTTTGAGCCGGTCAGGATTGGTCTGCAGTGGGCAGAGTTAGCCCGCAATACTGCATTCTATCTATTGCATCACCACAGCTCCATAAAAAAAAAGTGTCTAGAAGCAATCTGCTTAGCAATCTGCTAAGGTTGCTCTCTGATACCTTCCCAGGCTGCTGTCTTATGCTTCAACTTATTTTAATCCTTTTTCAGAGCAAGGAGGCAGTGCTGGACTGTTGCTGCCTATCATTTTACTTCCCAAGACAAGATCAGGGTAGGTGCAGAAACATTCTTCTAAAAAGGATGTAATCCTCCAAGTTATGATTTTGCTTTGTCCTACACTAGCAAACATATATTTTAAAACAACTAAAAGAATCCAAATAAAATACTAGGTGGAGTGTGAAACTTAGATGTACCTAAGGATATGACTTTGTAACATTTGTAATAAAGTTCTAACTTTCCTATAAGCAACCTAAATTTGTTCTTTTTAATAAACAAATCTCATTCTAGTTTTGCTCAGCTTCTGACAACTACAGTTAAGTCCTTCTATTTTTGCTTGTAGTAATATGAAAGTGACATATATATCACTAATATTGTATATTAGAAAGCACAAATTTTATCACCGACTAGTCTTAGAAAAAAAATGATAATTTAAGGCAGTCCAGTAATTGTTTAGAATAATAGATCTAGAGAATAACTTTTGATGCTTAAAACCACCTGGAAGGACAAAAATCAAGTAGAGGATTGGCTTAACATATCCTCTCCAGATTCAAACAAATATATCCCTAACAAAATAAATTAATAGCTAAGCATATGTCCTCTCAGGTGAAATCTGTAAAGGAAACAAATCCAGCAAAGCCAATTTACTTCTCATTGCTAAAAATATTTATATTATAGAATCCTGAACACAGCCCAAGGAATTTCAGTAAATCAATTCTATTTGAACAAACAAGCTTTCTTGAGGGGAGGGTATTGTAATTTTTTTTGAATGTTTTTTTTCTCACTTAGTTTTTATTATGTTTTATTGTTTTATTCAAACTTCTAACATAATTTGAAAAAAAGTCTATTTAAACAAGCAACCCTTTATTAAATTCCTCACTATATAGCACAAGATCCTTTTGTAATTATAAATATCAACATAACACAACACCTCTAATGAATTGCAAAATGAAACAAGATCTTTTTCTCTCTCTTCTTTCTCTTTTTCAAGCTGAGCCACTCGATTCATCAAATTTTTATTTCCAAGTTCCAGCTGTTCTTTACTGAATTGCAGATCATGTAACTTGTCCTCAAGATCTGTCTGTCACAAAATTAATAAACATGTGAATTATTTAACTAGCACTTACTGTATATTTTTTGTCATGTAAACAATTATAGGAGCAACAGCCCGATGCACAACATTTAATTTCAATTACTTTCCATGATATTTAAACATGATCAACTATAGATCAGAAGCCAACAGGAAGAATTGTTATCTGCAAATTATGTATAAACTTACAGGACACGTAAGAGTTTCAGAATGAATCTGAGGCATACCTTTTCTCCATCAAGGGAGAGAAGTTCGAGCTGAAGATTGAGCACTTCTGAAGACATAGTTTCTTGTACACGTTCTGACATTATGTGTAGTTCTTCTGATTTTGAAGCAATCACATCTTTCAGATGATCCACTTTATGCTTCAGTTGTTTCTCACTAAGTAACACTTCATCTAACTCTGATTTTAATTTTTCAACCTATAAAACAATGGTTTTCCAAAGGGGAAAATAACTTTTACATTTAACTTTTACTTATACACATGCCTCTTCAAATTTACCAGCATATTCTCACTAACTATTGCTCTACTGTATACTTCATTTTTATTCCATTCTAAAACTTAAGAAAGCATATATTAACTAAGGTCAACATTTTTTTTTGTACTAGCCTTGCTGGTACAAATCACTGTATTTATAAAATAAAGCAATGTTTTTAAAAAGACAGCACTGTACTTGCCAGAATTTCCTACCACATTCCCTAAGGAAGAAGGCTGAAAAAACAAGCATGCAGTTGGGTGGTGTTTGTTTGTTTGTTTATTACATTTTATGTTTCTAGAGTGCCCATCTCCCTTAGGCTTTTAAACACACCATTCAGTGTTTCTCAATGTTGACAATTTTAAGGCATGTGGACTTCAACTCCCAGAATTCCACAGCCAGCAATGCTGGCTGTGGAATTCTGGGAGTTGAAGTCCACATGCCTTAAAATTGTCAACGTTGAGAAACACTGATTGTAGTTTGAAGCAATAGGTTCAATCCCACCCCTCCTTTCTGCTCTAAAGCAGGATTTTAAAAATGGAAAACATAAGTTATATGTGCACTCATGTGCTCTCTCTCGCTCTCTCTCTCTCACACACACACACACAGACTCACACAAACACATTCCCAGCTACCCCCAAAGCTTTCCTTGCTATCCTATCAAGCTGCATATAATCCAAATTAATACACAGTAATAATTTAGCATTGCAGAAAAATACTCCAATTCAGAATTGATTTCTCAATAGATGTATTAAGTCCAGAACATTTTAAAGACAGTTTTAGCATTATTAGAAGGGAGTAATGACTAGAAAACAACATATTCATCTTATTCTTTGTATAATGCACCTTATTTTTAAGCTCCTTTATTTCTTGCCTGTGTAATGTTTCCAATTGCTTACGCATTGCATCCAGCTGTACATTTTGCTGCTGCTTAAGAGCCTCACATTCAAGATTTAAACTTCCCAACATTCGATTCTTCAGTTCTACTTCTCTCTGGAGAGTATATTTTTCTTGTTCAAAATTCTGAAAAAGAAGTATCCTGGAGTTATAACAAAGAAAGACATCTGCTATAGAAGCACAGGGGCAATCAAAAAGTGTTGACCCTGGCAAAGACTAAAAAATTGCACATTTCTTTTGCGCACATTTCTTAACTGCATCAAAGGAGAAGGTCTAGATGCATGAAACTGGATCAGCACAGGGGGAAAGTTTAAATTCTACCTCCTTGCTCATGGGGAAAATCCAATGAATATTCAATCATTCGTATAATGAATCATATTAATAGGTTGGTTATACTAATAGTTGGGAAATCATTCACAATTTACATTTAGAGATGCTGATCATATAGGATAGCAATGTTTTTCTTCATGATGGTAAAGGTAGTTGTTGACTTATAACCATTCATTTACCACAGCCTTGGAAAAAGTCAGTTACAAATTGTTTTGCACTTACAACCATTACAAACCATTGAATACAAGCTAATTTGAGGGCTATATGCCAATTGGTGTACATTCAAAGTGACAATAAAGTTGTTGTTATTATACCATCCCTTCAGTTACACGATTGTAATTTGGGCATTTGGCAATTAGCTCACATTTGTGACCGGTTACAGCAGTGGTTCTCAACCTTTTTAATGCCGCGACCCCAACCGGTCGTAAGTCGAGGACTAAACCGGTCGTAAGTCGAGGACTAAACCGGTCGTAAGTCGAGGACTTTCCCTGCCCGGGAGTGCCGCGCATGCGTGGTTCCGCCCCCTGCGCTGGCCGAGGCGTAGCTGGCAAGCGGCAGAGATGGAGCAGGCCGACCACCAGCTGGCCCAGCCCAAGGGAGGTAAGGCACCCGCCGGAAAAGGGGGAAAAAATGGCGGACAAAAAAAATGGCGGACAGCCTTGCTTGGTGATCCCCGTGAAATGGTCGATTGACCCCAAATGGGGTCCCGACCCACAGGTTGAGAACCACTGGGTTACAACATCCTGTGATGATGTGATTGCTATTTGTGACATTTCTTTTGCTGGTTTTTGGCAAAAAATGCTCATTGGGGTAGCTGGAATTGCTTAACAATCATGTGATTTGTTTAATGACAATTCTAAAAATGGTCACAAATGTGGTGACTTAATTTATGACCACAAAAGCTTACAGCCACAACTGGGACCAGAATATCCATTGTAAGTCAAGAACCATCTGTATATTCTAATTGTAAATTTAATTATTTGCACAGTCATTGGAACTGTTAGCAAGGGAAATATGCAGTCATTGCACTGTTAGCAAGGGAAATATGCAGAATGCTTTCTATATAAAGGTAGTCCTCAACATATGACCACAACTGAGACTATAATTTCCACTATTAAGCAAA